TCGGCGCTGCCGCAGTGCAGTCACTTGTTCTTTTCTGTTCTTTGCAGTCTGAACGTGAGCAGGTATCCCCCCGCCAACTACGACCAGGTGCACTTACACCCCCACCTGTTCCCGGAGCAGCCGCGCGTTTCCCCCAGCAACTACAGCCCATCGGGAGGAGTTGGGTTTCCTCCGGCTCAGCAAGCTCTGAAAGTCCCGCAGCTTGACCAGTATCCCAGTTTCCCTCAAAATGCACATCAGCAACAGCAGCACTACGCCGCATCGGCACTACAGCAAGCACTGTTGTCCCCAACGCCTCCCGACTACAGCCGACACCAGCAGGTACCGCACATCCTCCAGGGACTGCTTTCTCCCCGGCACTCGCTCACGGGGCACACGGACATGCGGCTGCCCCAGGCAGAATTTGCACAGCTCATCAAACGGCGGCAGCAGCAGCAGCAGCAACAAGAATTCCAAGAGTTGTTCAGGCATATGAGTCAAGGGGATGCTGGGAATATGGGCACCAGCGTGGGACAGAACCTCTCGGAGCGCCAGTCGCTGTCTTTGCCTTATCAGAGCGCTGACACGTACCACCCACAGAACAGCCCCCAGCATCTCTTAAAGATCAGGGCGCAAGAATGTATCCAGCAGGTACCCGCCTCAGTGCCGCCGCACGGATACGTACACCAGCCAGCCCTGTTCCATTCGGAGAGCATGGAGGAGGACTGCGCGTGCGAGGGTGCCAGGGACAGCTTTCCAGACAGTAAGAGTTCAAACACATTGACCAAAGGTTGCCACGAGACCCCTCTGCTTGTAAATGCAGGAGGGCACGGGGACCCCGAATCTTTGCTAGGAACTGCTAATCACGCGCAGGAGTTGGGGACGCATCAGTACAGACATCAGCCCGCTGCTGGATTCAGTAGGAATAAGGTGCCCAGCAGAGGTAAGGCTTCCTGCTGCTCACGTAGACGGCTGTGCCGTGCGCGCCGCGGGCCGCTTGCCTTCCTGCCGGAGGACACCGTCTCTACCCAGCACGGCAAGGGTTTCGTGACATATTTTGCATAGCACGGAGTTACCTAGATTCTTTTTGGCTTTTGTGGCCGTACGTAAATTGCAGGCATAGTCTCTCTAATAAACAGTGTTGAATAAGAAGGGAACCCGACCGGCTGATTCTCTTTGGAATTTGACCTACTTCTGCGGGCAGGTAAAGACCAGGTCCCAGAATACTGCCGTCTTTTCAGGGGTGCTGTGCGCTGTTGGCGTCTTTATTCTTCTTGGCGATGTTCCCCGTCCCGTGCAAACGACGGGCTAGAAACAGTTAAGTCCCTGGCGTACCCCCAAGGGCAGCGGGGTGTTCCTTCTCTTAAGAACAGACCCCCGAGTCCTGCTGTTGCTAAGGCTTCCGCAAACGCGCGCGCTAAGGGTGGTGGTAAACGTCTTGCGGCCAAGGCCGCCTCGCAGCAGCTCCCCTGGCGCTTTGGGAAGCGGCAGCAGGACTCCAGCCCTGCTTGAACTAGAAGGGGTTCATTCTGAAGAGAGTGAGTTTAAACTTGCCACTAGCGCCTGAAGACCTTTTCTGCTAGTTGGAAGCGGTTGCGCCTTTGCTCCTCGGTGGCTGCGTTGGCAGCGGTGCGCTGTAAGAAATTCCTGCCTGAGCTGTAATTACAGGCCTTCTCTGTACGAAAAACACCATCCTAGCCCCTTGCTAAGAGGGCTTTGAAGAGAGGCTTTCCAGGCTGAGCTGGGTGGATCAGTATTCACTGCAGGACTGAGTTGTCCTGGTCTGAAGCCATCAGCTTGCCCTTGGCACGGAGGACCCCACTGTGGAGGAGCAGTGTCCGGGGCGCAGGAGGCACGGCTTTGTTTGGGGACACAGCGCGGGTTTGTTGGGAAAGTACCGGGTTGGAACAGAAGGGCAGACCGGGCGTGCCAAGCCCTGGCCCCCCAGAGCGCGCGCGGGGGGGCAGGTAGGGCCAAGGCACGGCTTTTCTGAAGCCGTCTTAAATTTTGGATTACCGATGTGTTTGCTCTTGGACCTCCATTTCCCCGCGGTGCTTGCAGCACGGAAGGGGAGAATCGCCCCAGGTTAAGCGGAGGTTGGAAGCTGTGGAGGCGCATTTTGTGCCGAATCGTGAGTTTGCATCTTAATACCGTAGACCGTTAGGTGAACGACAAGCTTTGACCAAGTCAGAAGCTGAATTTCTGCCCCCGTACTGATGGTGCTAGAGCCGGTTACACAAGGGCGAAGGACTTTAGACTACAAGACTTCGTAAATGAGTAAAAGCAAGTAAATGTTTACAAATAGCATTGTGTAAGCCCTTCTGACAGGGCCGTTCGGAGGGCTCACGTGGTAAGCTATGTCCTGAGATGCAACCGCTCGCACTGCTTTCCTCCTGGCTTCAATAACCCACTTGGAATCAGGCCTGCGCTGCTTCGGCTCTAGGCAGAGCCGACATCTAAGCTGCCTAGGTACCCTTACCTACAATTAAATTCTACACACCCTCAGTGTTCGGGCCACTAGCGCGCTGGCGCTTCGCTCGCTCGCATGTAGCGCAGCTCCGGCGTTCCCAAGCGCGCCGGACGCAGGCGCCGAGGGGTGAACGGGGAGACTTGCCCCGGCCAAGCGTGGCTCCTCTCCCGGAGCGCTGGTGCTGACGGCTGGGCTTTTTCAGCCAGCCTGGGAGGAAAACCTCCCTGGGTTTTCCCGTTATTTTCCCTATCCCGTGTCACGAGGCCGCCGCTTCTCTTGCGACGGGGGGGCATCTTCCCTTCTGCCCCAGCTCACCAAGTGTGTTTTCCCTAGAGCGGGGTGTAACCCCGCAGTGGCTTGGGAGCATCTGTGCCTTCCGAGGGAGCGTGTTGACCCTGATCCAAAAGCCCTGGCTTGTCTGTTGAGCATCTGCTGGAGATGGCAGCCGGAGACCATGAGAGCGTCGACCACATCTCTCTTTAGGATGTGACTAAACCGCCTTTGAACAGCTCTGCTCCAGTTTTGCTCCAACCTAGCCATCACAGGGCTGGGAATGCTGCCCATGGGAAACCTGCCTCGCCTCGGCACTGAAGGAGCTGAGCTGGCGGCGGTGGCCAGTGTCACATGCCGTGTCGACACAAAGGCCGCCTGGCGCGGGAGCCCCCGTCCCCGATGGATGGGGGGGGTGAAAGGCTTTCCTGCTGCTGGAGCAGGGCTGGGGCGAGGAAAGGAGCGTGAATTCAGGCCGTCCTGCCCCTGCGGCCTGAGCTGCGTCCCCAGAGGTGCTGCGCTGGCAACGGGAAGCGTGGGGTTGTCTTTCGGGTCAGGGCTATTCCAGGCCGGGGGAACTCGTCCCGCCGTGCCTCGTCACCTGCAGCGCAGGGGCCGGTGCCGGGGGCTCGCTGCTGGGCCTGGCTGCGGGGGAGCACTTCTGCACCGGGGCTGTTTGTGGAGCTGGAGGAGCAGGCTGCCGGCCCGAACAACCGTTCCCACAGTTGGAGCGGTGTCCCGAGCAGTGTGTGGGTGGCACTGCTCCGCCAACATCTGTTACCTCATGTTTTCTTTCTCGCTTTTCCGGGAAAGCTGACTTAACCGCACATAACCCCACGGTTGTGCAAAGGAAGGGGGAGGCCGGCTGCATCTCCGACTGCCTCGGGACGGGGTTCCCGCAGGACTGCCGCCCCTCGGAGGGAGGGAGGGTATTGGGAGCGGTGTGCTTAGCCGTGCTCGTGTGCCCGGGAGTGGCATGGAGAGCTCAGGTGGCAGACCCTGTCTGGGATGGGGTCTCACTGGGATCCGGGTAGCTTTACGGACGGGTCTCCCTGGGGAGCGTCTTTTTTGCATCTCGCAGTTGCAGTCCCCGCCGGGAGGTGCGGTGTCCCGGCACAGCAGGAGATTGCTTCCCACCGGCCAAAGCCCCGTGCAAGCCGATAGCTCTGGCCGGGGGATCTACCTGCAGCTGTGTCATTTCGGGGCAGCTCCCCAGTGCTCGTGGCCACGTCCGCATGTTTGCGCTCCGCAGGACTACTCGCCGAGAGCGAGCTGTTTACGTGCGTCGGACCCAATGATAGGCTTCTTCATAGCTCAGGGCTTTATTCAAAACATCGTGTACTTGATGACAGGAGGTTTTGCTTGATAGGAATGTAGCCTTTACCCTCGGTCATAAGAGCTTGCGGTGCAGATGGACTTTGCCAGGCAGGACACTCGTATACTCCTACAGCCAGATTGTAGGAGGGCAGGGAGAAGTCATCTGATAAAAGCGAACATCCCGGCCAACTCTTCCAGCAAGATTATGTTGCTTACACTTGCCAGGGGGCCCTGCTAGAACATCCCGTGTTGGAGGCTGGGGAGATGCTTCTTCCTCCGCTCTTGTGTAACGATGTGGGCAGCGCAGGGAGGAGGGCGAGCTCGGGCTCGAGGGGGAGGCGGCAGTGCCGGGAGGCAGGCAGAAGGGGTCTGGTTCCCGTGCCGTGGTGCTCCTGCCCCTGTCCCTCCAACTTTAGGCTGCTTTTGTAGACCTGATCGGAGGCAGCTAGCGTTGGGATCTTTGGGATCTCAATGCTGGAGGGAGAAGCCTGCCCGAGTGCCGTCTGGGGCGGCCCTGGTGCTGCATCACTTCAACAAGAGCAGCCGGGGGTCCCGTTCCACCCGGCCAGCGGCACGCCGGTCCGCCAGCGACGAGTGTTTGTTCGTGCCGGCACACCTCAGACCCGCGGCTCTGCGGTGGCGCGCGTCGCTGAGAGCTGCAGGTTCCTTGTACTAACCTGTCGTTTCTCTGTCTTGTCTGCTTTTCAAGAGTCCATCGTAGGGAACTGTATGGACAGGAGTTCCCCCGGCCAAGCGATGCAGGTGCCCGACCACAACGGACTGGGCTACCCTGTGCGACCCGCCTCCAGTGAGCACCCGCGGCCCAGGACCCTGCAGAGACATCACACCATTCAGAACAGCGATGATGCCTACGTAGGTTTGAAGAAGCCTGTGCCCGGCAGGGCTTAAGGCAGTGCAGAGCTTCCTTGATGTGCGCGGGTCACGTACCAGGTGTCGTGCAGGAAAGGCAGCGCCCCGCTCTGCGGGGCTGCTGGCAGCGAAAAGCCGTGGGGACCCTTCAGCTAGCACGTCCCGTTTGCTTAATACCGAAAACGTTTTAGCAGAGACCGATATGGACGAGTCCACGGTTGGCCCCCGGCGCG